ACAAGAGCTCCGATCTGGAGGTAAAATGGTGCGGCCCAGGAGGACTACGCTCACCGCCAGGACACCGTATGACCGACCAAGTTTGGTCAATTCGGGTGAGCAAAACCCTAATTGGATCTCCAAACTTATTTACTCTCCTTCTCGGATGATTGCCAGTAGTGCCGGAAAGATCCTGTCCTCTGTCTTTGGTTCCGAGCCTTCGGAGTCTTCTTCTTCTTCCTCTTCTTCGTTTTCGGGTTCCGATGCAATTTCAGGTGCTGCCTATCATACTCCCAATTCATATTAATGCAATTGAATTAATAGGATTACACCATAAATTCCTCTTCTTCGGAGTCTTCTTCTTCTTCCTCTTCTTCGTTTACTGTTTACACCATAAATTACAAATATATTTAATGATATGCAACGTGTTATATTATTTGAATGAGTGGTTATGATTAAGCAAGTCAAGACTTGATATTGCTATGATTTGGAGCATGACAAACCTTATTGATAGCTACCATATGTCTGACTAGATCTGGTGTTTTTTGCAATTATCTCCTATTCATTTAGTGGTATTTAACTTTAGGGCAAAATTTTCGGAGAAGTCATAGAGCAAGTGGGTGAGGTGGCAAACAAATAGCGAGTTCTAGAGAAGGTTTTGACAAGTTCTATTATTAAGTTATCTAACTATCCTAGAAAGTCTATTATCTTTTGCACAAATGAAAGTAAGTGATAAATGGAAGTAGGTGGTTATCATCCACCTCAAGGCATAAAAGAGAAAAGTTCAAAATAAATAATATACAGTCAACCCTATGTATAACTTAACAAATTTAGCTTTCTCATTTCTTATGTACTATTCACACAACTCACACCTTAGTTTTAGTACAATTTTCAGTCAAATTTAAGTTAGTTTTAGTTTTTACATTAATCTATTTTTTATTTAATGATTTTAAAATAAGTGTTATTTTCTCAAATGCCAACTAATATGGCTTTCCAACCTGCTGCTTTGCTAAAATCCACAAAGCAGCTTAAAGACTTTTCTTAGATCCAGACTTGCATTTAAAGGTAACCATGCATTTAGAATGGAGACGCATGAATATTTTTTCTACACGTAATCTAGCTGGTCTCGTCAACGAATGAATGGAGACGAAGCTTCCTCTTCAATGTATGCTTTCTTAAGTTCATCTGTATGTATAACTTCCACGATTTTACAATTCAGAAATTTTTTGTACCGTGTGCACTACTTGAATGCGTGAAATTAAGGAATGAAACTTCATCGATGATTCCTTTCTTAATTTCATCTACGGAGTATATTATAATGACTTCGATTATCTCAGAATTCTAAGAGAATTAATCAAGCTTCAATAATGTCTTCTTTCTTTTCAACCCCCTCCCCTGACCAGGACTCCTTCAATGAGGCGCAACTAAAAACGTCACCCAGATGTGGAACAGCACCATAGCCATTGGCAGGGGCGGAGGCAGAAATTTTTTTCAGGGGGGTCAAAATATTAAAATTTTCAAAGTTCAGAGGAGGCTAAAAAATTTTTCATATACTAATTTACAAGATTTTCAAATTTCAGGGGGGGCGAGCGCCCCCCCTCGCACCCCCCTGGCTCCGCAACTGGCCATTGGTAAATTCATGCTTTCTATTAAAACAGCTCAACTGAAAACTATCCTTCCAAACTGATAATAATGACATTACGTGTGTTAATTGTTGCAGTGATACGTGGGCCTAATGTTTTACTAACTTTTTGTTGTGAAGATGAAGTCTTTATCTTGTTACGGGTGGAGCATTAACTCAAGAGACTCAGGGAACCATTAAATGAGACACAAGGATAGTCTCAATTTGTTTTTTTTTTTTTCATAGATCAACTTTAAGAAAATTACTTTATCCTGAGTTAAGCCTTAAAGACATTTTGGTTGGTATTAGAGACGGATGGGATTGCATCTGGAATTCTCTAGTGTGGACAGTGTGGCTGGCTCGTAATCAAAAAATTTACCAAGGCAAAGAGATTATCCGGGAGAAGCTGCTGGAGCTCATTCAATTAAAGTCTTTCCAATGGATCACAACCAAAAAAGAAAGGTATGCCTTCTCGTTAACAGACTGGTTTCTTAATCCAGTAGCATGCTTGAATGATTGCCGCAGGAAAAGAAGGGTACCAAATGAGTTAGTAGTAGGAGGAGAGGGTAGTTGATTTCTGGGAGGCATTACCTATGGTTTTGTATTTTTCTTTTTCTGCTTCTGAGGGTGAATTGATGAGTTTTGGGGGCTCACAAAGGTTGTATTGAGCAATCATTGACTGTAGTAGATCTAGCTATAGTCAATACATGATCAATGCCCCGTGGGTCTGTTGGGGTGTTCCGGTTCAGGGTTGTTTGATCTGAACAGGGTGTTTTAATGATTTGGCAAAAGAGGCCAGAATCCTCGTCACGGACATAGTGTCGACACTTTTTTTGGGTGTCGACACCTTGTATTAAGTTTTGTTATCTACGGGTTTGGAGTACCCCTTGTATTCCGTATATTAATAAATAACACTTTTGCTGTTCAAAAAAAAAATATATTTATTTTTTAATTAAATTATAAAAATAAAATTAAATAATTAAATTTTCATGTCTCAAAGAAGATGTCAAAGTAGTTGAGAGTTTTAAGTCTCTATATTAAAAAAATCAAGTTCAAATCATGAAAAATCTTGGAATATATAAGGAGGAGTTTGAAAAAAGTAGAATTATTTCGTGTTATATACATAACCTATTATCTAATGTAATAAAAAAAACCTTTCATAGAAGTTTTAATATCTAATTTTCCTTTATATTAATAAAGAATTAATGAATATTTATTTTTAAAAATAAAAATAATATACACTTCATTAATC